ACAGAAATTAAAAATTTAATTCCGAGCGCAGAATGACGTCACATAAGAACAAAAGAAAATCTTGGCTTAATTTTCTTACCGAGCAGTTCTCTATTACTATATGTGTTCAATAATGAACATATTTTATTTTAATTAAACTAATATTCAATTTTATATTTATATTATATTAAGTCATTCTGCCTTAATAAAAGTGTTGGCAATATGTTCAATAATGGACATGGTATTTTAGGACATATGCAGTTCTTAAAATTACAATCCTAAAAATATTAAAATTAAAATTGTATCTATTTTAAACGCTGGCAGGATGTGCCTAAATTTATAGTTATTTATTTATGTCTGTTATCATTTAAATTCTTAGAACACGGGTGAAAAAATTCTAGATGAACAAATTCATAAACAATACGAAAAAAACAATAAAAATATACAAATAATTGAAAAAACTCGAATTCCAAGATGAATGGAAGTATCAAGCTAAGACAATTGAGAACTACACGGTTTTTCAGATGCTTCTGAAGCAGCCTATGCAGCAGCAATATATATTAAAATAGGTTCAAAAATAAAATTATTAACAGCTAAAAGCAAAGTGGCTCCAATAAAAAATAAAAAAACTATTCCCAAATGAGAATTATGCGGAGCTCATTTATTAGCAAAATTAATAAATAAAATAATTAAAATATTAGGCAAAAATCCAGAGGTCTATTGTTGGAGCAAAGAAAGATTCATAAGAAAACGAGCGACAGAAATTAAAAATTTAATTCCGAGCGCAGAATGACGTCACATAAGAACAAAAGAAAATCTTGGCTTAATTTTCTTACCGAGCACTTCTCTATTACTATATGTGTTCAATAATGAACATATTTTATTTTAATTAAACTAATATTCAATTTTATATTTATATTATATTAAGTCATTCTGCCTTAATAAAAGTGTTGGCAATATGTTCAATAATGGACATGGTATTTTAGGACATATGCAGTTCTTAAAATTACAATCCTAAAAATATTAAAATTAAAATTGTATCTATTTTAAACGCTGGCAGGATGTGCCTAAATTTATAGTTATTTATTTATGTCTGTTATCATTTAAATTCTTAGAACACGGGTGAAAAAATTCTAGATGAACAAATTCATAAACAATACGAAAAAAACAATAAAAATATACAAATAATTGAAAAAACTCGAATTCCAAGATGAATGGAAGTATCAAGCTAAGACAATTGAGAACTACACGGTTTTTCAGATGCTTCTGAAGCAGCCTATGCAGCAGCAATATATATTAAAATAGGTTCAAAAATAAAATTATTAACAGCTAAAAGCAAAGTGGCTCCAATAAAAAATAAAAAAACTATTCCCAAATGAGAATTATGCGGAGCTCATTTATTAGCAAAATTAATAAATAAAATAATTAAAATATTAGGCAAAAATCCAGAGGTCTATTGTTGGAGCAAAGAAAGATTCATAAGAAAACGAGCGACAGAAATTAAAAATTTAATTCCGAGCGCAGAATGACGTCACATAAGAACAAAAGAAAATCTTGGCTTAATTTTCTTACCGAGCACTTCTCTATTACTATATGTGTTCAATAATGAACATATTTTATTTTAATTAAACTAATATTCAATTTTATATTTATATTATATTAAGCCATTCTGCCTTAATAAAAGTGTTGGCAATATGTTCAATAATGGACATGGTATTTTAGGACATATGCAGTTCTTAAAATTACAATCCTAAAAATATTAAAATTAAATGTTATTATTTTACAACGCTGCAGGCTGTGCCTAAATTTAGTAGTTATTTATTGTCTATTATCATAATTCTTTAGAACACGGTGAAAAAATTCTAGATGAACAAATTCATAAACAATACGAAAAAAACAATAAAAATATACAAATAATTGAAAAAACTCGAATTCCAAGATGAATGGAAGTATCAAGCTAAGACAATTGAGAACTACACGGTTTTTCAGATGCTTCTGAAGCAGCCTATGCAGCAGCAATATATATTAAAATAGGTTCAAAAATAAAATTATTAACAGCTAAAAGCAAAGTGGCTCCAATAAAAAATAAAAAAACTATTCCCAAATGAGAATTATGCGGAGCTCATTTATTAGCAAAATTAATAAATAAAATAATTAAAATATTAGGCAAAAATCCAGAGGTCTATTGTTGGAGCAAAGAAAGATTCATAAGAAAACGAGCGACAGAAATTAAAAATTTAATTCCGAGCGCAGAATGACGTCACATAAGAACAAAAAAAAATCTTGGCTTAATTTTCTTACCGAGCACTTCTCTATTACTATATGTGTTCAATAATGAACATATTTTATTTTAATTAAACTAATATTCAATTTTATATTTATATTATATTAAGCCATTCTGCCTTAATAAAAGTGTTGGCAATATGTTCAATAATGGACATGGTATTTTAGGACATATGCAGTTCTTAAAATTACAATCCCAAAAATATTAAAATTAAAATTGTATCTATTTTAAACGCTGGCAGGATGTGCCTAAATTTATAGTTATTTATTTATGTCTGTTATCATTTAAATTCTTAGAACACGGGTGAAAAAATTCTAGATGAACAAATTCATAAACAATACGAAAAAAACAATAAAAATATACAAATAATTGAAAAAACTCGAATTCCAAGATGAATGGAAGTATCAAGCTCAGACAATTGGGAACTACACGGTTTTTCAGATGCTTCTGAAGCAGCCTATGCAGCAGCAATATATATTAAAATGGGTTGAAAAAATAAAATAATTAACAGCTAAAAGCAAAGTGGCTCCAATAAAAAATAAAAAAACTATTCCCAAATGAGAATTATGCGGAGCTCATTTATTAGCAAAATTAATAAATAAAATAATTAAAATATTAGGCAAAAATCCAGAGGTCTATTGTTGGAGCAAAGAAAGATTCATAAGAAAACGAGCGACAGAAATTAAAAATTTAATTCCGAGCGCAGAATGACGTCACATAAGAACAAAAGAAAATCTTGGCTTAATTTTCTTACCGAGCACTTCTCTATTACTATATGTGTTCAATAATGAACATATTTTATTTTAATTAAACTAATATTCAATTTTATATTTATATTATATTAAGCCATTCTGCCTTAATAAAAGTGTTGGCAATATGTTCAATAATGGACATGGTATTTTAGGACATATGCAGTTCTTAAAATTACAATCCCAGAAATATTAAAATTAAAATTGTATCTATTTTAAACGCTGGCAGGATGTGCCTAAATTTATAGTTATTTATTTATGTCTGTTATCATTTAAATTCTTAGAACACGGGTGAAAAAATTCTAGATGAACAAATTCATAAACAATACGAAAAAAACAATAAAAATATACAAATAATTGAAAAAACTCGAATTCCAAGATGAATGGAAGTATCAAGCTCAGACAATTGGGAACTACACGGTTTTTCAGATGCTTCTGAAGCAGCCTATGCAGCAGCAATATATATTAAAATGGGTTGAAAAAATAAAATAATTAACAGCTAAAAGCAAAGTGGCTCCAATAAAAAATAAAAAAACTATTCCCAAATGAGAATTATGCGGAGCTCATTTATTAGCAAAATTAATAAATAAAATAATTAAAATATTAGGCAAAAATCCAGAGGTCTATTGTTGGAGCAAAGAAAGATTCATAAGAAAACGAGCGACAGAAATTAAAAATTTAATTCCGAGCGCAGAATGACGTCACATAAGAACAAAAAAAAATCTTGGCTTAATTTTATTACCGAGCACTTCTCTATTACTATATGTGTTCAATAATGAACATATTTTATTTTAATTAAACTAATATTCAATTTTATATTTATATTATATTAAGCCATTCTGCCTTAATAAAAGTGTTGGCAATATGTTCAATAATGGACATGGTATTTTAGGACATATGCAGTTCTTAAAATTACAATCCTAAAAATATTAAAATTAAAATTGTATCTATTTTAAACGCTGGCAGGATGTGCCTAAATTTATAGTTATTTATTTATGTCTGTTATCATTTAAATTCTTAGAACACGGGTGAAAAAATACTCTGATTTAAAATAGCACAATATTATAAAAACACGTAGTTTAAATATTTTATGACACTTGGCAACCCGTATCTAATTAAGATAATAAAAATATATTTAAAGACAATAGGAAGATAAATCCTAAGTGCCGGGATTTTCTTCGGAGAAAAAATAGTATCTTTTTTTTTGAACCTTTGCGACAAGAATAAAATGTAACTAAAAATAATACAGTCCACTAAAATAAATAATAATAGGCAACAAATTATTTCAACCCGTATTTGTAAATTTAGTTAAGTTAGGTTAAGACAATTTTGTATAAATAGAGAATAATTTTCAAAAAAAAGACAGTATTCAATCGATATTCTAGCGTAAAGCAACTATCTCCTCTTTATTTTCAATTTTTTAATCGTTTAGTCCGTCCATATTATTATTATATATTATTTATTATTTATTATTTATTATTATTATATATTATTTACATTATTTAATTTATTTATATTATATAATATAAAAATGTTATATTAAAAGATTCATGTATGTGTAAAGGTTTTAATTTTTATACATTTTCTGAAGTCTATGACTCAAAAGTATATCAATTTTTTATTCAGATATTTTTAATCTAATAATAAGCATAAATTTAAAAAGATATTTAAAAATAATATGTATGTATGTATGTATATAGGCAGCAAACTATATACTATAAAGGTACTTAAGAGTACGAATATAAGGGGAGTCTGTGGTTCTGTTCTATTTACAGGTTTTTTTACTGATGACGTCATCAATGAGGAGGCGAATCCGTGAATAAAAGTAACGTGGTAAAAGCATATTCTAACATATTGTTACGAATTTCATCAGAGTAGCTATGAAATGTTTAAATATTATTTAAACATTACTTCAATTGATATTTTTTTATAAGAAGTTAGTTTGGAAATTTGTTTGGTGTGAAGCTGTATTTTTATTAAAGTGACTCCTAATAAATACTAGTTCTTTGTATTACACAAAATATATAAGTAAGTTTCTTCAATCCTAATAATTCTTCAGAATTTTGTTCTAATTTCTGCGTGATTTCATTAGACTTTTGTTCCAGCTTTTCTTCCAACTTACGTGAACTGTGCGCCTGTTCTTCTGAATTTTTCTCCAGCTTCTGCATCATTAAGTTCATGATTGCCACAATTTCACTATTCTTATCAGGTTTTTCATCGAAGAATTCGTGTTCTTCTACATTTATGCTATTAGCCTCCAACGCCTCACGAAGTCTCAATTGTAATTCTGTTTTCGTACCACCTGTGCCAAGTCCCAATTTCTCCAACTGTTTTTTTAGTTGAACCACAGTTAATTCTTCCAATTTCGCCATTTTTACAAAATCCCACTTCTGACACCAAATGTTACGTAATCGCCTGCGTGATTATTCGTATCTCAGGATTTTGTGAAAAATGAAACGAATTATTAGGATTGAAGAAACTTACTTATATATTTTGTGTAATACAAAGAACTAGTATTTATTAGGAGTCACTTTAATAAAAATACAGCTTCACACCAAACAAATTTCCAAACTAACTTCTTATAAAAAAATATCAATTGAAGTAATGTTTAAATAATATTTAAACATTTCATAGCTTCATTCATTTCATTCATTTCATTCATTTCAAATTGTAGTTTGAAGAATTAAAGATTGAGTTGCAACAAGTCCAGGAAAGATGCTCGAAGAGAATAGACCAGACTGATCAGAATGTTCAGATCTTAAAAGATGAGATGGCTCAGTTGAAAAGCCAAGTTGAAAATATGCAACTAAGTGGGTCGACTTCAGCCATTGTTCGTGAAATTGGTGGCTTTAAACTAAAACCACCGACGTTTGATGGAAGCGTAACCTTTGAAGTCTTCAAACTACAATTTGAAACAACAGCTGCAACAAATCATTGGAATGTTGATGAGAAAACGGCAGCTCTAATTGTGGCATTAAAAGGTAATGCGGCAGATGTTTTACAGCAAATTCCACCCGAGGAACGTAAAAACTATCAAATGGTAATGGACACATTGAAGCGTAAGTATGGTAACGATTTTATGAGTCCATTGCACAGAGTAGAGCTGAAAGCTAGAGTCCAGCGTGTTGGGGAGAGTCTCCAAGAATACTCTGCTGACATTGAACGTTTGTGTAATTTGGCATACGTTGGTAACTCTAGTGATTTTATGGAGAAGAGTAAAATTGACAGTTTCATAGACGGAATACGTGATCCGGAAACCAAGCGACAGGTCGTAATGTTCCCGAAGAAGACTTACTCTGAAACAGTCAGCTACGCATTGACGTACGAAGCTGCCGGTATTATGTGTCGTCCTACAGCAAAAATACAGAAAATAGAAACTGATGCGGATGACCTGGTAGAAGTAATTCGTCAGATGAAAGTTGCCTTAGTTAGAAATGGCAACAAGTTTAATGGAAGATGTTTTGTCTGCGACAGACTTGGACACATGGCGCGAGACTGTCGTCAACATCGGAAACGGTCACGATCAAGCTCTCCATCGGAAAAGAAACATCACGATAGTAATTCTAACGGGGCTAATAAGCCTTCGTTAAACTAACGAGAGTCAGTTCGAAGGGGCATGAACTGACTTCAGTAAATGATTGCTCCATCATCCTCGTCTCACAGTTAAAGCGGGTACCTAACAGCCTAACCATCGATGGAAAAATTAACAATATGCCGTTTATTTTGACTTTGGACACTGGTGCTTCACATTCGATAATAAAAGGAAGCCTAGAAAAGAATTGTACATCATTAGCTGGTCTAAAACTTCGAACAGCAATGGGTGAAGAGGCGCCAATACTAGGAAAGGTCATGAAACGAATCACTTTAGGTGGCTATGAATTTCAACATGAATTCATGGTCGCCGATATCACCGATGACGTGATTATTGGTATAGATTTTATGATCACGCATGGAATTACACTGGACTTAAGTAGGAAAATGTTACGATACATGGATATCGAATGTCCACTAAATACTGGATATCAGCGCAGTAGCAGTGTAAGACAGATCCGGTTGTGTCAAAATCAGAAAATACCAGCGAATTCAGAGGCGATCGTATGGGCAAAAATAAATGGAGGGGAAAGGACAAGTAAGTTGTGGGTCGTTGAAGCCGTAAGAAAAATCCGAATGAACGACATCTTACTGGGGAAAACATTAGTAGAGCCAAAAGTAGATGGTAGCATACCTGTTCGACTCTTGAATTTATCTGGTACATCAAAGTTTATAAAAAAAGGGGCAATAATTGGTGAATGTCAAGAGGTTTCAGCTGTGGTTAATTGTAGTGAAAATTCTGAAGTAATAAAAAAAGAAACCATTGCAGAAAAGGAGGATACAATGGTGCAAGTGCTAAGTTGGACTAAGGAACTCAATGCACGTCAGAAAAGAAAGGCGATGCAGGTCATACGGAACAATTGGTCAATTTTTGCGCTTAAGGGAAGAACTTCTATTGTAAAACACGAAATTGACACTGGTGATTCTAAACCAATTCGTCAGGCGCCTCGAAGAGTTCCACTGGCAAAAAGAGATGAGGTAACCAGTCTAGTTGCGGGTATGCAAAAAGAAGGTGTTATTGAGTCATCGGCAAGTCCATGGAGTTCGCCGGTAGTACTTGTAAAGAAGAAAGATGGAAGTACACGGTTCTGCGTAGATTATCGTAAGCTGAATGATGTTACAAAGAAAGACAGCTATCCACTACCAAGAATCGACGATACTCTCGACACTTTATCTGGCGCACAATGGTTCTCAACTCTTGATCTACGAAGCGGCTATTGGCAGGTAGAACTTAAAGAAGAAGACAAAGAGAAGACTGCATTTAGTGTCGGTGATGGTTTGTGGCAATTCACGGTTATGCCGTTTGGACTCTGCAATGCTCCAGCCACTTTTGAACGTCTCATGGAGCGCGTCTTAAAAGGACTAACCTGGAAATCTTGTTTAGTCTACCTTGACGATATAATTGTAATGGGTAAAGACTTCGACGATCATCTCGAAAAGTTGAAGGAAGTATTCGAGCGAATACAAGCTGCTGGTTTGAAGCTGAATTCAAAGAAGTGCTCACTTTTCAAACGTGAAGTCAAATATCTTGGTCACAAAGTAACCCCAGAAGGCGTACATACTGATGATGAGAAAATTGCAGCAGTGAAGGAGTGGCCACAACCAACAAATTTGCATGATCTTAGGAGTTTTCTGGGGCTCTGTACCTATTACAGACGATTCGTTCCTGGCTTCGCGAATATTGCCAGTAGTCTATACGAATTAACTAAAAAGAACCAATCTTTCAAATGGGGTGATGAAGAAAATGAAGCTTTTGAACAGCTTAAGGAACGACTCTGTGCAGCATCAGTTTTGGCGTATCCAATACCTGGGAAAACCTTTATATTGGACACAGATGCGAGTGGCTCTGGAATAGGCGCAGTGTTGTCTCAAATAACGGATGGGCAAGAAAAAGTGATAGCGTACCACAGCAAAATCTTGTCCAAGCCAGAAAAGAACTACTGTGTCACACGAAAGGAGTTACTTGCGATAATGGTTTGTGTGAAGCATTTCCACAAGTACTTATACGGCCAGAAATTCCTCCTCAGAACTGACCATGCAGCACTTAAATGGTTGCTGCGGTTTAAAGAACCGGAAGGTCAGCTGGCGCGGTGGATTGAACGTTTACAAAGTTACGACTTTACTATTGAACATCGTAAAGGAAGCCATCATGGAAACGCTGATGCATTATCACGTCGCCCTTGTGGCCTCGAGTGCAAACATTGTTTACGGATCGAAAATAAAGAACACATTGTGGATATACGTCTGATTAATGCTCTTCCAGAGGAGTCCTGGACCAATGAGCAGATACAAAAAGAACAGCAGAATGATGCAGACCTCTCCAAAATAATGGAAAGTAAAGAGCGAGGCATTCGGCCGGAATGGCAGGAAATGGCAGGTGAAAGTCCGATAGCTAAGGCATACTGGGCGCAATGGCAGAGCTTGCATCTGAAGGATGGTTGTTTATATCGGGTATGGGAAAGTGAGAATGGTAAAACCATTAATAACCTCCTGGTAATACCGAAGTCCCGCATTGACGAAGTTGTCTCAGAATACCATAATGCATCTAGTGGAGGTCATTTGGGCGTCACTAAAACTGTGGAAAAGATCAAGAGACGTTTTTATTGGGTCGGGTGCCAAGATTCGGTTGCGGATGTTATACGGAAATGCGTTCCATGCACTACATCAAAAGGTCCGAATACTAGAAGCCGTGGAAAAATGCAACAATATAACGTTGGTGCTCCTTTTGAGAGAATTGCAATGGATATCGCTGGACCTTTCCCTACTAGTAACGCACAGAACAAATACGTGCTGGTAGTAATGGATTACTTCAGTAAGTGGCCAGAAGTGTATCCAATTCCAAATCAAGAAGCCAGCACGATAGCAGAAGTTTTCTTAAACAATTGGGTTACGCGATTCGGTGTTCCAATGGAACTGCATTCAGATCAGGGGCGAAATTTCGAGTCAACAATCTTTAGAGAAATTTGCACATTACTGGGAATAAATAAAACTCGTACAACGCCTTTACATCCGCAGTCGGATGGAATGGTTGAACGATTTAATCGTACATTAAACGAGTACCTCAGGAAAGTGGTTGATAAAAATCAGAAAGACTGGGACGTTCATATTCCAATGTTCCTACTCGCCTATCGGTCTGCACGACATAATTCCACATCAACTACACCAGCAAGAGCAGTTTTTGGCGCCGACATCAGATTACCAGCGGACTTAAAATTTGGAATAACGCCACTTTGCGGCAAGATGACATGTGACTACACTGGAAGTAAGCGGGACCAATTAGATGAAATTCATCGGTTCATCAGAAGACGGCTCTTACTGACCAGTGACAAAATGAAAGCCAGGTATGATTTGAGAATGAACTCTGAAGGTTTCCAGGAAGGAGACCTAGTGTGGTTCCATAATCCACAGCGGAAGAAAGGTTTGTCTCCAAAACTACAGACCCATTGGCAAGGACCATATAGGGTAATAACGAAAATCAATGATGTGGTTTATCGAATTCAAGAGTCGGGGCATCATAGAGCTCGAATGAAAGTGGTGCATCTGGAACGGCTGGCACCTTACTGCAACGATGTTGTAATTCCTGTTCGGGACGAACAGATTTAAGAGGAGGGCAATGTTACGAATTTCATCAGAGTAGCTATGAAATGTTTAAATATTATTTAAACATTACTTCAATTGATATTTTTTTATAAGAAGTTAGTTTGGAAATTTGTTTGGTGTGAAGCTGTATTTTTATTAAAGTGACTCCTAATAAATACTAGTTCTTTGTATTACACAAAAT